CCTGGCTGCAGAGCCCCCCGCGCCTGCGCTGCGGTGCCCACCGCAACCACGGAGCGAGCCCCGCACCGAGCCCCTGGAGCCCCGCGCTGCTGAGTGCGGAGCCCGCAGGAGCGGGGGAGTCACCGCTCTGCGTCCCTCTCCCGCCGTGTCCAGCACTTGGCAGCCGAGGGAGCCGGAGCCTGGAGCGGGAGCACAGCCCTTGGAGCTGCCACCAGCGGTGGGAGAGAGCACGGTTCACCTGGCGCAGGCTGGCGCCAAGCCGGTCCCCCGCCAGAACTGCCAGCGGCGCCGGGCACTCCATCACCTCTAACCCTGAGCCCCTTCGTCTCTTCTTCACATGACATAAGCAGAACTTAAATCTCTTACGTCTCTAAACCTATCACTATTCTTAGAGATATCTTAATTCCTTTTTAATATATATTTTTTCTGTACAGAAGAAAGTTTTGTCTGATGGCAGAGACTCTTGAAAAAAAAATCCTACTGAGGCATCATGCTGCACTTACCTAGTGAAAAGCTAAATGCTTACTTCATCAAGGGATGAGGTTGAAGAACTGCTTTTTGGGTTAAAGGACTGCTCTTCTCCTCACCTCCCTCTCACTTCTTGTTCTTTCAGGTTACAGTTATAGTTCAGAGCAGAGGGTGCTTTTGAAGCGCACCCTTCCCAAGCATACCCACTCCTTATGCACTGGGTTGCATTGCGGCATAGGCTTGGAGATCATGACTTTAGTTTAAATGCAACTAAACTGTAAAGTAGGCTCCAGCATGATACCAAATATGCTCTCGTCACTAAAAAATGTTGTGTAGATAGGACCCGACAAGAATTAGCCCCCACTAAAACACCCCCAGACAAACACAGCATGAATGTCAAGCCATCGATAACTCTTCTGCTCTACAGATCAGTTGCTAATAGCCTACACTACCTGTAACACAGCCACACTATGCAGATGCATGGTGTATTCTGTGTTCCTGTGAAGCCACATGCACAGCTAGATCTCCTATGCCTGCCTTTCTGCAACTTTTCCCCTTGAGCCACAACTGCTCATGGCAAGAGGGTTGAAAACAGTGGGATGTTCTGCTTATGAAAGATTGGCTAATCAAGTGTCACTGTGTGGCCCAGCTTTCAGCCAAGCCAGAAATTCAGATTCTTTGTTCCAACTGCCATTACTTGTGACTGGGGCAAATGGAATTTTTAGTCCGTTCTAGCTCATTTACAAGTATATCACGTTCATATTACATATCTATTGTCTATTTACTTCTATCTATTGGACAGGCTAGATACAAAGCCATTGTGTCTTGATGTCACCCAGGCAGAACCCAGCCACTAAGCCCTTCACTGAAGCCAGAAGAATCCTTTGTCTCTATGTTAAAGAGTCCTTTCCTCTGCCACAGCACAATAAGGCTTATTAGTGACAGCCCATTTCTTTCTGCTCGTTAAACTGATTGATTGTTACCAGATGGGTCTGAGAGATGTTTGGATTGAAGCAGCAAGTTTCCTTTCCCTTGGACATACTATATTAACATGTTGCCCTAAAATTCACACACATCCTTCAAATTCTGTCAGAGCTACTTCAGTAGCAAATTGCATATCCCTCTTTGCCCCTTGGAGATGAGTGAAACCCCTGCTGCTTCCATCAGCACAGATTTTGCTGTCTACTCAGCTCACCAACACAGGTTAATTACAGTCAGCCTCACTGTATCCTTCAGAATGAACTAACAAAGACCTGGCTCTCTCCCACTCTGCAACTCCAGTAATTATTTGCAGCTGTGAAGCAAATGTAAAAAAAAAATGCAGAATCAGTACAACTCTCCTCAGACACTCTGCACTCACTACTCCAAATTGCTGTACAGTGTATAAGTTATGAAGAATTCAGCTCCACTATTTATGGAAAAGAATGCCTACTCAGTTTGTTTTTTCTGAACATTGATCGCAAATCCCTATGTATAACTAGGTAAGTCTACCTGCCCATCTCATATTTATCTAAATAGTCATTTTAGCAATATCACAATAGCACTCTGACTAGAGCCAGCTAATTAGAAAAATGTGTATGGCCCAGAGAATACTTATTTAATTCCTTCTAACAGACATCTATGCTACCTGACTAGTAGACGTAAGACCCAAATCCCACTCTCAGAGAATATGAGGATGCTTGCATTTTTGTCATGAGACAAATGCTGTTTTAGTCACAAGACGGGGAAAAGTAGGAGGACATGGAGCACATCCCAGACAGCAGCAAAGCACAGACCCAATCAGACCTAAGGAATACCAGTCCTTAGCAAGCTGTCACGAAGTGAGACCATTTCCTTTAAGAAATCCACCTTCTGCATCCTTTCTCTCACAATTTCAGAAAGGGGGATATCCAAAATTTGTAACATTTCTAAATGTATTATGCCAAAACATTTCAGAACCACTGAGACATCATCCCTCTACAGGAGTGCAGAAGCATAGCTTAGAAGGATGTTGAAACCATGGGGTGGTAATAAATTGATACAGAGCTAGCCAGCCAACCAGCCAGCAACTGGAGATTTTAAGATAAAAAATTACCTGAGCCTTAATATCTGTTATTCACTTCCCCTCACCTTTGAAGATGTTTTTAAATTTTATTTTTTAACAAAATATGTTCTAGCAGTAGTGACATAACAGAAACAGAGGAATAAAGCTGCAGGCTCCCATCATGAAAACAGCTCCGGGGACAAGAGAAGGAAGGAAAGTTTAGCTGATTCCATTGAACCAAAAAGAAAATGCCATGTAGGCACTATGGAGTGTTCAGCTATTTGTGCTCAGTGCTTGACAGAAGTGGATCAAATTGTTGAATGTCCCTTTTATTCTCCTCTCCCTTTTCTAGACATAGTATCTCTGCTGTCTTCTTGTTGGGCACATCCTTCCCTCTGAGTTCAGCGTAGTGCTTTCTAAATGTAAAGTGAGGAATAAGGGAAAAAGGAAGAGCGAGAAGAAAGGAAAAATTTAGAGGAAAGAAAATTTAAAGGAAAGATTTAGTCTTAGTCATCTGTCTTTTCTTCACTACAAGTTACAGACCTGCATTTATCCAGTGGTCGGTACAACAACTTGATAAAGTACAAGCTGTAAAGCTGGAAACTAGTTGCCTTCATCATGTTAGTTTAAAAATGTGAGACTCCAGATTTTACTGTTTTCACAGCCTGCGATTACCACCCTATTTGAAAGTGTGCTGAAAAGTGAGCGTAGAAATGAGTTGTGATCAGTTTCTGCCCAGGTGCTCTCTTGGTGCAGATGTACAGAGCCAACAGAAGAACCACCTACAGTACCTGCACTCAGAAATGATTCTCCATTTCCCCTGCCCAAGAGGGATGTAGGATTTTAAAGGGACACCAGGAAGTGTCAGAGACTCCCTCTGCATCTAAAATATTAGAGCTAACCATCCACATAGTGTGTGTTGTCCTGCATATACCCAGAGCCCAGCCGTGCCTGTGAGCCACATAAAACCATTCTGAATCCCTGCCAGCTCCCAAAAGAGCCTTTCCTCTGCATGTAACAATTATGACATAAACTTGCCCTAGGATCTGCCCCAGCAGATGACTAAAAACGTGAACCAACCTTTCATGGACCTTCCCCCGAATCCTAATTCCTGTTCAAATGTGCTTCCTCTGTGACAGGTGGCACCGTATGGAAAGCTCATTATGCTACTCCAGTGTTCCAACCAGAAGCCTCTGGGGCCTGTTTTGGAAGAGGAATTTGCCCTTGTTTCGGGGATGGTGTAACCCATCATGACCCTCCACTGCTGTTTGATCTCACACAAGATCCTTCTGAGGCAAATCCTCTATCAGCTGACACTGAGCCCTTGTTTGACTCTGTAATGAGGAAAATAGGAAAAGCTGTAGAAGAGCATCGCAAGACACTGACTCCAGTCCCACAACAGCTGTCTCCTTACAACAATATATGGAAGCCATGGCTGCAGCCATGCTGTGGCACATTCCCATTCTGTTGGTGTGATGAAGAAAACAACAAAGCAGATGGCATACGTTAATACCAAAATCAAAGTACAGTTAGCTTTAAAAGAGCTGATTCTTTTCACATTCACATGACTACTGTCATACAGAGATATGGATCAAATTACACTGGAATAACTGAAAGGGATGTTATTGATGTCTTTTATTCAGCCACAGAAATTCGTAAGTCTGCAGTTAAAAATAAATTAAAAATGCTCCAAACATATTCCACCTATGGGTCACCTGTACAATCCATCCCTCAAGTGCATAATTCTGAATCAAATACCCAATTAAATAAAACAAAACTTCTTTCCTTACTGATTTTCCATTCAAGTAAATGTGAATGATAAGAAAGCAAACTTTAATTGCAGCAGCTTGTACAGGTAATATGCTTGTTAAGGCAACAGGACTGAGCCCAGGAGGGGATCTCATCTTATTAATGAAAAAACTGTCCTGTGTTTAAAAGCACAATTGCACATTTGATTTGGAAACATACCAAAACACTTTGGCCTCTAAGAAATAAACACCTACTTATTTCAGCAATTAATTGACTCATCTGTATATTCATTTGTCTGTCATGTAAGAATTCCCAGGAAAAAAAACCTGAACTGACACGTTTTAAAAATCAAGTAGCTAAAGTTATCATCTCGGGTTCAGCAGTGAAGTATCTAGCTATTCTGAAATTAAATGCTAAACCACAGAGATTCCTGTTGACATACATTTTCCACGTCATTGTCTCACTTGTGAGAGCACTGAAAATCATGGTCCAGCTGCATCAACAAGATAGGTCCCAAATTTCATGATCTGTAAGACCAATTCATAAGCTGCATGTCCCACTTGAGCAATAATGCTCCTGATTTCATAAGAGTGCTATTATGCTCCATAAAAAAAATGTGCTTTGTTTTGTGAGACAGCACTTTGTTTTCAGTAGGAGGTGTTAAAAAATTCACTGCACATACTAATCACTTTAGTGTACAGGTCATCTTCTCCAAGCCAAACAAGTGTCAGCACTCTGTACAGTCATTAGGGAAAGGGAAGGAATTAAAATATCTAATCCTCTCTTGCTGCCCTCAGGTTAAATGAATTCGTCTCTCAATACATAATCCTAACCATGCTCTTGCAGGGTTTTTGTGTCAAATCCGATTTTTAAGTGGAGGTTCCTGCATTTTCTGCTTAAAAAAAAAAAAATAAATAGATCGTGTGCCAGAGCTTCAGACTCAAACTTCGAAGCCTTCCTGAACACTGTATATTCACTCCTACTACACAGCTAAATGTCACCAAGATTTTTAAAGTAACAAGAGATTGTAAGAGCAGCACAGAGGTGCTTCAGGTGACTTGTCTCCTTAAAGCTACCGCCTTTCAGAGTCACCCCAGTGCAGCTCTGTTCACTACCAGGGTTTTTGGTCATTGAAAATGACACATGGCATTTTTTGCCTTTTAAAAAATGGGAGGAGATAAGGCGCCCCACAGCAGCTTATAATCCCAGAGCACCGCGACGCTCTCTCAGCTCTTGAGCTGCATCAGCAGGTCCCAGCCTTTTCAACAGCCTCAGAACAAGAGTGTGTGTGCCTGGACTATAAACCTTTTGCAGTGTTTTCAGGTGAGCTCCTGACTTACACCCCCGACAAGGTATGAAATCAGTGTGATAAATTGTTGTTATTTTGCTATGAACAGCACAGGTTGTGATCATGATGCAGCACCAAATGCATCTCCAAAAAGCTGACAAGGCATTTCTTCAAGTTATTTCTTGTTTTACCTTTCCTCTAAAAGGACACCAAGCAAGTTATGTGGAAATTTTTACACATGAATCAAAGTGTTAATCTGACAATGAACTGATAGGACACGTCAATGTCGGACTTGACAGCAGTATCTAAAAATACATTTGTTCTTACTGCTTGATAGCATTTAAATCCACATCAGCATTGCTAAGAACTTGTCACAAGATTTGTCATTTTTCTTTGGCTGACAGGGATAGAAACCAGAGCAGCTGCATTTCGCTTGATTCACACGGGAAGAAAAGAGCATAAAGACCATGCATTTTAAAGCTAGTCTGGCTAATTCAGAGAGGGAGGAGAAATATTATTACTCAGTGGGGAAGAAAAGCAAAAGCTGTTCTCTAGAGTCAAGCCAGTCAGTTCGGTAACATCTGTGTTGTCAGTTAAGCATGAAGATAAGCTTTTTCTCAGCTCACCTCACTGCCCATCCCACCTGCCCACCCTGTTTATATGCAAGAACATGCCCAGTCACAGTCAAGTCCACAATTAGAGCATTTACCAGGGAAGGTGTTCAAGCACCCACATGGCATATAAGCATAGGTTCCAAGCTCCTGCTGACAGACCAGTACATCAGTAAAACCCCTGAACTCCATCTCCAAGCACAGTGTGAACACTTTGGACCCAAGTTTAAAGCTAGGCTAAGAGCTAGCAACATGAACAAAGTGCATTTGGATTGGTTTATACCATGTCCATCATGCAAGCCTGCCCTTCACCTCACAGGAAGATAAATCACCCCATATAAGAGTAAATATCAAACATTTGTGCAACACCTCACTCCTCTGAAAGGTCAGTTTGGTAAATTGCCATATAGTCAGATGCTAAGGACTCACGTGAATACACGTACTGCCTTCCTGACATCCAAACACAGATAATCTTATTTTGGCCAGCATCTGTGGAAAGCCAGGGGTGGGGGGGGCTTTCGGGCAGGAGGGGAAGGAAACAGGCCAGGCAAACTGGCTCTTGTCAAGTGACTGTTAAGAGACCTCAGCCAGGCACAGGGAAGTGGGCTCTCCCCAGAGAGAGAGAGAGAGAGAGGGGAAGGAAGAGGGCAGATAAGAGCACACAGGGGTAATCTGTCGGTGACAAGGAGAACAAAGTAATGGGCAACTACCAAATAGGATGCACAGGATGTCACTTCAAAAAATATGGGGGGCAGGAAGGAAGAGTATTTTCAGTCCTATATTCCTTCAGCTGTCTAAAGCTAAACGTATCTTAAAGGATGCAAGTATTGAGGAGACAGTGGTAAGCAGGGAAATGAAGTAAATCATTTTACGTGTGTTCTGCATATCCTAGCCATGGAGTGATTGCTGATCTCTTCATCTGTATACACTCTAATCAGAGCATGCAAGTCTGCACAAGCTATTATTCCAATCTCCTGGTAAGTGTATATTCCCCATAAAGCAGGTAGCCCAACATCACACTTAAAAGTTGTTCTGGTATACATTTCCACATAAAATGAATTAATGGGTAAAAAGCTGTTAGAAAAGCTGTTTGCATTTGAATAATACTGAAAGAAATAAACTTTTAAGTCAGTTACCTAGGTTTGTTTGAAAAATCATCTATAATGTTCTTTTGCAAAATACATGAATGTAAGAGTAAAAGCTAAATTATATGCTTTCTCCCTTCTTTTCCCAGCATCTCTCCCTTCGTAGATGGGAGCAAGCACCATATAAAAATGGCCTGTTGAGAAAAACGGAGCAACTGGAAAATCTCCAAGCCAGTGTTAACTATAGGAGAAAGTGCCTACACATGGTTAAATATAGACACCATAGAGAAGGAAGTATTACTCTGTAACAAATGAAGTTTGGGTTTACTGAAAGAGCTGTGGCTGAACTGTTTAAATGTTTGACATCCACATTGTATGAAGCTGACTTCCATCTAAATAGTTTGATCATTATTAAATGGCATTTGGAATCACTGCATTAGACTGACTCAACAAAGTAATTGTCAAGTCTCACAGGAGTGAGACAACAAGCTTCTAGGACACTTCACTTCACTATGTTTAAATATCAGACATGTCACTTTGCTCCCTGCTGAGACCCAAGAGAAAGCCAGCACATGGATCATAAGATCCCATCATCTGAGGATGCAAAATAATTGTGTAATAGATAAACTGAAAAAAGCAATTTGAGCTCAGAGTTTATCCAGCTTGAAACTCCTGAGGACTATGAGTATATTTGAGAAGCACTTACATAAATGACCCAAAAGAACGAGTAAACATCAAGAACACTTTTTCTCACTTCCACACTGTAGGTTAAAATACACACAGACATGTATAGTTGAACTGAATAAAATATTACAAGATTTTTGTAGGATGTTTTGATTGTAATTTTACATCTAAACAACTCTGTAAAATTCAGATTTATTAAAAACCTAGTTTCTCTTTGAATCACTATACGACTGCATTACAAAGGTTTTCTGAAATCAAGAACAAATATTTTTAAAAGTCCCAACCCCACATTTCTAAGATAAATGGGGATACTACAGGTTCCAAACAACCCTGGCTTCTCTTCTTCTAATTGTCTAAAAGCTCTAAGTAAAAGATTTGGAAACAAAAAAATGTATGGATGTCCAAAAAAATAAAAACCGTCTTTAAACTAAACAAAACATAAACCAGGTACCCACCCACCACATGCTATTAGTTTCGCCCCAGCAATTTAATACTATGAGAAGGCTCTGAAAACTGTATTCCTCTAAAGTAAAACAAACCACCTGTTTCTGATATTACATTTCTAAAGGAAAACCACCTACATTTATCATGGTACAGAACCCTGTACAGTACCATAAAAGGGGAAAAACACTTTTCCAAGGCAATTAACGTCATGCCATCCTGAAGTGGGAAAAGTATTAAAATAATTACAAGTCAGAGGCTGGCTCTCTTGGAATTTTGGATTTTTTTCCCCCTAAAGTTTGTTGAAGTCAAAAGGGTTCTAACAACAGTCAAAGTAAAATTCAGGAAAAATACTTGCAACTGTACTTTTTTCCTTTATCCATAGTATATCATTGTCAGCCTTCTAATAATTAGTTAGTTTTTATCATGTTTAAAGTCAATTACATATTTTTTTAACTACCTTTTCTATAATTATGGTATGTTCTTACTACAAGTTGAAAGTTTATACCAGGATGCGATGTATTTCTTGATTTTCACACCTTTTAACTGTTAGCACCAAAGAAACTATTATTTATGGGCCAGACAATTTAGGATGAACAGATTTTCAGCTGAAGAATTTTGCAACCAATATACTGAAAATGCAGTCTACTTCAATGACTAGTATTAACTGACTTGTATTTTTACAGGAAAAAAAAAAAAAAAAAAAAAGGAAAGAAAGAAAAACCATAAGCACAAACCAAAAACATGCAAATAAAATGTCAAAATGATGATGAGAAACCTGGGGGAAAAAAGGAATCAAATATATAAATATTTTTTTTTGTAGACTCACCTAAATACACAAAGTTAAAAATATTAGAGATGAGAATTAAGAAAAACAAGCCCATCTCATGTTATTTTCAAAGTCATAGGAAGCACAATGATTTAAATGAACAAAACAGAATCAGATCCATTAAGGAAGCTGCAGACTTGCTTCTGTTAAACAAGTGGACATTTTCAGGAGCATGAAAACTTATAAAGCCACCTGCTACTAACCCAGCCTCCCATTCAAGGACAGAAAAATCAAGGTAAAAAACTTAAGCATTTTTTCAAATACCAGCCTTACAAAACAACTAATGTGAGCTGACTGAACTAGAGAGACAAGAAAATTTTTGTTTTCCCAAGAACAACCCAACTGGAAAGGTCCTCGCAAGACACCAGACAGTAAGTGAAGTGGTATTTCAAGAACAACAATCTCCTTTTCCTGTAGGCTAAGAAAGTGCATTAACCCACATGTCTAAAATTTTCAAGAATTTTCCTTGTGGCACACCCACACTATCTCCTGTTTATACATGAAGAGCACCCAATAAAACTGTTGTATGGCAAATAAAATTACCCTCTAAGCGTAGCTGTGAATAACTCTAAGCATATAACAGAGGAAGAATCAGCATATTTTGTTTTAAAAACAAGCTGTCCTCTTTAAATACAGAGTCTGCCACACAGTAATAGGTCAGAGTCTGGCCTTTCAAAATCCCTACAGCTGCTTCTCAGGTCACTAGGGCTTAACCAATACGGACAAAACTCTCAGTTACATGCACGCACAGACCAGTTGGTAAAAGATCTTCAGTGGTTCTCATTTTACCATGCCATTTTTTTCCCCTTTATATGTCATTTATATTATTCTCCAGTGCCTTTCAAACTGACAAAGTGAAAGTATGTCTTGTTTAGGGAGGAATGGTGCCATCAAAACCCCTACATTTCTTCACTTCCTTTCCTTCCTAGAAATACCTGGGACTATACCACACTTTAATGTTGAAGAAATTCTAGGTGCAGCTTGCTAAGTTTTTTTCCAAGTCATCTTTCGACTTAGCAAACCTCAACCCTTTGGCAACATGCAGCTTGTAACACCTCCCAGACCTGCCTGTGGCCCCAAGATTTCAGAATATTGTCCGTAAAAGCAAAGAATGTTGCCCAAACCACAGCACTTGCAAATTCTGGGTTCACTGACAAGATTCTCCCTTCTCACGCTCTGGTGACAACAGTACTGTGCTAGAATCCACTATGACGCTACATTACTTGTAACTAGTTTAACATTTTTTGTGTGAAGAGAGTACACAGAAAAGTCAGGCAGTTTTTTTAACCACAGCTATACTTCTCCATGATATACAATAAGACAACTACTGTTGTGCTAAGAGATCCTAAACCTAATAATTATCTATGTCTGTAGAAATAACTCACACCTTTTAATTCTGCTCAGCTGGTAGTGCTAATGTCTCAAAAGCAATTTAATAAAATAAATTAAAAAAAACCCACATATTAAAGTATCCAGCTGGTCACAAATAATAGTTCCTGTCACAACATAAACAACCTGTAGCCCCACCATCATCTGATAAGCAAATGAGTTCATATGTCCTTTCCATTTCTATTTTATTTTCATGACATTAATGCACTACATTTCTTTGCAAAACATTGTATAATCCACACACAGTACCATTTTACATATTCGCACTTTCAAATGTACTCTATGACAGCTCCTTTTACTACATTCACATGCCTATTTTAAAGCTTTTCAGTTACTGATTTCATGACAGTAATTTTTATCCCATAATGTCATTAATGTGCCCAGTAAGATCTAGTAGTTAGTGTAAAAAGTACAGCTGCATAGAAGCATGAGTTCACACTGAAGACTATATGAAACTGTAGTCAACTAAAACTGAATTATATTAGCAGTAATGTTTATAAAACAGAGAACTTTCTCAGAAGTGCACAAGTTCACTAAGAAACAGGGATAATCAGCAGATCAAAAGCCACATGAGTAAGAGTGTGCTGCAGCTGCTGCAATCTCCACATAGTGTTGAGTGGGGCCACGCACAGCAAGAGGCAGAACACACGTACCGGTGTTAACATGTGAAAGTTACCTCCCTGGGAGAGGCAGGCTATTGAGGATCCCTTTGTGATCGATGGAGAAATTCAGAAGAAACATCTTCTGGACATCTCTCTCTTTAACTTCAGGGACCCTAAACATCTAACTTGAAATAGGAGCTTGAATTCAGCAGACCCACCAAAGAGATTCCTGCTTTAGAAGTGCTTAGAATAAATGAGAAATAAACAACTAGATAAAATCAGAAATATCAGACAAAAGTAAAAAGGAATCCACTATTGTGAATATTAGAAAGTAATTCTAAAATACTCGAAGATAATTTTTCTTCCTTTAAGGGACCTTTTGATTCTTTCATTCCTTTCCAAATTTGTGCAAGTTATTCCACTCCCATCCTTTTTGATAGAGGAAAAAGAAATAAAGGTTCCTTCTCTCCTACCCTGCCTTTTCCTCTACTAGCAGCTATGGCAATCCCTCTGATGCATAATGTTACATCATTGCTTTTTAAACAGAATTCCCAAGTTATTTCATTAGCTTTATCTACCAAAATTGGTGACATATTAACACTGAAACATGCTTCGAGTCCGGCATCAGCACTGCAGAATTCTCATTTTAATACTGAGTAGCATTATGAATAACTGTCAAATCTGTTATCATATTAGCATGCCTGTCAAGCTTCTTTATTTCAGAGTGTTTCTCTGTCCTGAGATTAGTCAAATTCAAATACCCACATTCACAAAACAATCCCCCATAAGTATCTTTAATATAATGGAGTCTCATCAGTAGATTTTTCTGGAACTACACTCACAGATTTATTAGTTCCCACACACAGATATTGTTTAAAAGATCTTCAAAGGGCCTCTTTACTAAAACAAGTGCCAATTGTGTTTTCAGTTGCATTCAAACTGCTTGCAATATGGGGCAACCATGTAAAGGAGAAGAATGCCTTTGTTAACTGCAGTTTGAAGTACTGTAAAACATATTGATATAAAGCACCAGAAGGTTTACACCATAATGTCAGCAGTTGCAACTCTGAATATGCAAGTACAGCTAACAATAATTAAAAAACCAACACTATCCTATAGCAACAATAGAAAAAGTTAACAAACATTATCAGTCATCTTAAGAGTTTTACACCACTCTTCATTACGCTGGTGATGAAGCTGAGCAGCTTCCTATTATATAAATAGGGAGAATATCCACTAGTGATCTCCGATGAAGTCTGAATTTCCTCTAATCCTAAGTATAGTTAAATTAAAAAGTTTTGTTGTAAGCTCCTGTGAAGCCAGGATGTCATCTCCTCACTTTTTTCTCTTATTGAAGTCTACACTATGGTTGTTCTTGAAAAGTGTTAACTTATTTCCAAGAATAAGGTTTTAAATTTTTTTATAGCATCTTGAAAAAGGTAAAAGTATTTTTGAAATAATCTCAACTTCCAACATGTTTCACACTCCTGACTGTTTCTGCAGAATTCTATGGGGAGGAGCAGGGAAGAGTGATAAATATCAGAGTTCAAACTCAGAGGGTACCATTCATTATACTTCAGAAGGCACTATGGGAGAACAACGAAGATGAGACACACGTAACAATAAAGATGAGGCACACTTAACAGTTAAAAAACAAGGGTCTGTATCTGTTAGTTTTCCCAAAAAATATATGAGGGTCGATATCTATCTCTTCAACTTTGGCGTCAAATAAACTATGAAGATAGCCAAGTATTCAAGGACTGCATTTCTAGAAGAAACATAAATCGTGAGTACACTCCATCTTAATGTAAAAATGCATCCAATTTCTTTTTGATACGTTCAAAAGCATCTTTCCCCCTATAGTCTATGCGCCCCTCCTCCCATTTTCTTCGTTCATCTTCTGGACTTGATTCTTCTGGTTTGAAGTGAATAGTCAGCTCTGAAATAGAATGTGCGACCTCGTTCTGTGGGAAGAGGCAGAACAGTGGGAAAACAGTCATTTAATTGTTCTCATTTCAGTGCTGTGAAGTTAAACCTTAAATGTCAACCTTCTGCTTTATACAGTCCCAGTTAAAATAATAAAACAAACAGTATTCAGACATTGATTCTTGTTTTGATAATGTGATCTCATTTTCCTATGCCTTTACTACTTGTCATAGCATCTTTGAGCATACCAAACATTTATTTTACTTGTCCTAACTCAGATCTTGGCATACTCAGCAAAAACACAGTGAGAATATTACAAATACAGCCTGTTAAAGGAGAATATTTCCTACAATAAAGTATAAATATGTGTCTGTCCAAATTCTGTCTTCAACAGGCTTTCATATGAAAACAAGTTCCTAGAATTTTTGGTCATTTGTTTTATCTGATCTCCAGTGAGATCAATATTATTTATCTGATGTGACCCATGTAAATTACTTTAAAAGATTGACACTATTCTTTACATGGATAACTAGTTCATTTTCAATGACAGTCCAAAATGGTTCAAGATCAAGTTACCATAGGTGACCAAACGTAAGACACATTATTAGTGATCATTTCAACCACATAAAAGAAAAACTTTGTCCATGATTCACCAATGCCAGTAAAACTGGGACATCCCAACAATTACAACCAGTGCTAAAGATGAAATATAACAAGGACTAATCAAGGCAACCATGAAAACCTGCTTTCAGTACTACTCCAAGAGGCTACAAGGCAAACAACTCATGTTATAAATAAAATTGAAATCAACTAGAATGGACTTCCAGTTAAGTCCTCACAAATTCAATATAAAAATGTTTCTGAACAGAATTTAATGGGCAGGAATCAGTGGCTTAAACTGCCTAAGGGCCCTGCAATATCCATTACATCTGCCAATTTGGGGCAGATAAAGCACAGGACCTGTGCAAGACCTGCATCTTCAGAGCAGGTAAGGTATTTCAAAACATGACACTATATGCTAAGGTAACTGCATCTTTCCATATGTATCCCCACATAGGTCCCACTCTGTACACCCACTCTGTACATGACTAAACATGAATCAATACTCTCAGAGCATGCTTGCTCCCTATATATGCAAATATGCAACAATACTTGGTATTTAATATTAAGGCTTTGTATATACATAACTGTAGTAATGCATGAAGATTCCTTTCTTCAGTGTTGGCAAGCCTTACCAACAGCTTTGGATGTCATTAACAATAGGACAAGAATCATCATGGTTTTAGAAATGAAGAATTTTAGCTCAAACTTCCCTGGCTGCATGGGAGCTACAGTTTCACCTACGGTTTTATTTCTCAAAGTATTTCACTGTAGTACTTCACAGTCATACAGAAGTTCTCACTAGGAAAATAGTTTTGTTGTGTACCTTACAGAATACAAGTCCTTGACACCCCATCACCCCTGTTAACACCAAATCTGGCACTGCTGTCACACTGCCCACAGATGAATGCAGTGCAAGAACACAAAAGAAAGCTGAGTAGCTTAGGCTACATGCCTGACTCACTGTACATTCATTTTCCACTTGCTTGGAAATATCACTCCAGCAGGTAAAAAAAATAAATATAAAAACAGAAAAAAAATCAAAAAAACAAAACCCAGCTTTGCTTGTATTAGTATTGGAGAGATAAAATTAACACCATGCATTTATTATTTGAGGGGCTAGCACAGGAAAATATGCATTTAAAAACTAGAAGTTTTTAAAAGAAAACTAGAAATGGATTACACCCCAGTATTGGAAGCAGTTAAGGAATTACATAGCAAAAAAATTAAAGAATTTATTTGCACATTACATGATAATTAATTTATATTTCCCAATATTATGTTGTCAGCAGAAACATGCACGCAGTTATCAACAGATGTACAATGCAGAAAGCTACATGTACCAGTTCTGAGGTTTCCTGAAACGCAGGATGAAATACAGGTTGTTCTGAAGTTCTGTCAGGCTCAGAGAGATAGACGTCAGAACCGCTTTGTTCAACTTCATATACAGGTTGCTAAAATACAGCCACTGAGGTTTTATTAGGAGAATATTTTTTTATAGTTTCCTTTTCATAAGAATTCATACAATACAAACTGATTTCATTCTTGGGGTAGGGAAAAGCAGTGGGAGGAAAAAGAACAAAACACATCATCACCAAGGACAAAATTCATCTCACCCAGCTTTAGCTATCAAAATGGCACTGAGTCAAAGCTCCTACTATAATCAATCTAGGATAAGTACCTCCAGAGGGCAGCTCATCTCATCCTAAAATAGGTTCAAGAGTGGCTGTTACTCTTCAGTGACCACAGAAACAGCCTGGGAAGATTGCTTACAGTAGATGCCTGCCACCCGTGGGGCCAAACTTCAACAAGAAGAATCTCATTTTTGGATAATAGCTTGGCTCTATACCTCATAAGCTTTTTATATGTGTAGAATGAGAACAGAACAATGAATTCCAAAACAGAGGTAAAATAGATTGCCCCAAAAATACTGCCCCAAATATTTGCCTTTGCCAGATATCAAAACATAAATGAGTGGACAGGCCCTACTCTGAAGTCTCTTCCACCAAAACCAAAACAATCCCACAAGACTACTGAAACTATGCAGCAAAAAGTGGCATGATGGTGTTTCTAAGTAAGAAGAGAATCAGGCTATTAATTTCTAATTAATATTATCTTATGATAAACCAACCCTATTAATTAAAAAACAAAAGAAATATAAATTGTAATTACACTATTTTAAGTGAACATTATGAATCTTTTACCTCAAACCTTGAAAATGTGTCCCTATTTGGTTTGAGTATTTCCAATGGAATCGGATGCATGAGGCAAATAACCTTTGCAAATAAATTATTAAGTTAGAGAGCTGGAAGGTTTGCAGTTTTCCTTCAGCCCCTTCACACAAGGGAAAAGAAAGAAAGGAAGACTACAGTTTTATTTTATGGAGTAACTACACTCTGAAGGGATGAAGCATGGAACATAACAAAAACTGCAGCGAGTAATCCAAAAGTTACAATAGCAGATGACAGAAGAACATCATTTTCTCCCTATTGTACCTTGCTGTAGCATGGTTTATCATACAACACGTCATGACTTATACCTGCAGAAAGATTGTGCTATTATGTCCAACTTAATTCCTGCATAAAATAGAGGGAGTCAGTGCAACACAAACACCCAAATACAAAGAGGCAAATACAGGAAGACTGACAAAAGAATCAGGACCCCTGCAGTGTTCATCAGTGGATTCTTTTAAGACACTCCTTGTTGCCCAAATCACAGAAATTTGGGGAAGAGTTTACTGAGTCAGCATTTCTGGGGAAAAAAGAGATTTCTACAGAGGAGTGGTAGGAAGTATTCTAGTTTTAAATATACAGTATTAATAGCCAAAAGATTACTTTGGTAACAGAACTTTTTTTCTATCACAGTTTATTAAGTACTTAACAACTTTCAATAGTACCTAATAACTTCATAAAATTCAATGAAAACTCTTTCAACCTCTGGACACATCATGAATGCGTGTCTAAAGATTGAAGAAAATAAATTCTCTTTATTTCTGACACTAGCAAGAAAATTCAATAGCTACAGCTAAATTGAAGAAGATATAATCTCCCAGATCAGAAGCATCATCTAAAAAAATGTCATTTTAGTATAGCATTTTACTTTGTTACTGCATATAGTAATATGCTACATACTTACAGCTTTGAAAGTGAATTCGTCAGGTGAATATGCTGTGGGATGTATTTCATATGTCTGCTCTTGAAGCACAGGCATTTGCCGTGAATTGGTCACAGGACTGGCCTTCTTCAGTGTAATTTCAACTCCATTGAAAGCGTGCTAACAGAAATAAGAACATCTCACCACTGAAATACAATTTTGCAGAAAATTACTATCTTATTTACAACAGTTTCTCTTCCTTACAGGGATTTCAGCATTAAAGGACTAAGTTACTAAATTCAAAAAATTTGTGGTCCCAGATTCAGAGCATGTTGCAATTTATATTTTTCCACTTATGCCAGCATCATCAAGAGGTAAATTAACAGGTATTTCCACTTTCATGTTACCATAGTTGAAATATTTCTTTACTGCACAAAATTTCTTAAAAATCAAAGCATGTTAAAGTATGAGATCAAAAGCTACCCATTCCTTCCTCTGCTTTCCAATTTGTCATGAGGTTAACAAGCCAAATTCCTCTCTAGGGCTTTGATGGCAATTGGCCAACTGATCTTATGGGACTATGCAATTAGTTCAGTGGTGATAATAGTGTAATATTACAAAAAAATTAAGAAAATATTTACATATTCATAGCAGTGATTATGTCTGCATACAAAATTAAAAATCATACTTCTCCTATTCATTACTTTGTGCTGCTGGTCTCCAAGAAATCATTTATTTATCAACAGATTTTTTTAGTCTATTCATGGAAACCATCCATTGTGCACTTCCTTTGAGAAAAAAAAAAAAAAAAGTTTAAAGAGCTCAGTAGATGCTTGATGACATCAGAGTACTGTATCTAACGTCCTAAACATAATTTACACTGCCTTTGTATATTTGATTTATTTGTTGTGACCTTCATAAAACAAGTTAGAATGCAGTTCTGAAAACTTAAATTTTAGTATAATTCAAGGGCTCATTTGATGGTCTACATCAACTTGCCTTCAAAAAGTCAAAAGCCTATTTCTTCCATATCCAGATCATTACCTTCTCTGGTTAATTTGTATCATACTTTCTGTTTAATTTGCAGAATCTATACACATACATTCCCACACAAACTCTTCATCAACTAAGAAGGGGGTGAGGAAATCTTCAGAAAGTCAATAGTACTAAAAATCCTTCCTAAACTGCTAGTTTAGATGCTTCTAGAAGAAATCACTGTTACTACCAATTAACAGATACAGTTTTTCCATGTAATTTCTCCCTCTAGCAAACACATAATCTTCAGAACTTTTGTTGTGATTCCAGCATATTCCCGTAATATATAATATATCCATAATAACCATTAGTTACCTTATATTCCTCAGATTCTGATTCTACCTTTTGAAGTTTTTCTAACAAAGGCAACACACTGGCACTGTATATATTCCACCACAGGGCAAGAAATGGCAGCTGATGAAAAGATCCAGAGGTGGTGCCATCCTGCATAACCGTCTTTGTTTGAGGGTTATATTTGTAGTTCCACGGCTTTGTCGCTCCCAAGAAGTGAACAACTTTGGCATCTCTACCAAAACTGTAGAGATTAAACATACAGGTATATACATTAAATATATATATATATATATATATATATTTTAGCTTACATAAACTGCTAAAGAAACATGCTTACTCTCACCGGTGATGCAATTTCAACATTTTGCAACACAACACATTCAATATGAGTATATATTAGTATTTTTTCTATCTTATCATAAGGTATCTCATTTAGCATGTAGAAAAGAAAAGGCTGCGTTGCCATTTACTTCCAGCTGCTGATTCTAGTAGAGAAGTTTGTGAAGGAAACCAACAGGCTCATGCAGTACCATTTCCAGTCCTCCTGCCTACTCTGTTCACAAACAAATAAATACCACTTAAAGCACTGAATCAACAAAATTGGTTATTACTAATCGCATATTAAAAATTGCTAATAAATACATTATCTTAAGTTCACCTTCCAGTAAGTGTTTTGTGCAACTGTAAGAGTAATTCATGACACCCTAAATCCAGCTTGCCTTCTGCCAGAAATTTACTCTAACTGCATTGTCTGGTCATGTAATTACTAGCACAAATTTTGTGTCACAGAATAATCTAAGAAATAGATTAAATAATAAAAAAACAGACAAACAACTCTTTTTATAAAATGGACCAGAAGATGGGAACAACTTTGAAAGTAAAGCTGTCAGAACCTAATGCTAAAGTAATCTACATCTTTCCAAACATGAGTAAAGCTTCTCCAAAACAACATATGAGACAGTGTAGTCAACTCTGGGACTCTCTCTGTGTCCAGATGCAAGATGTTCAGATTGCATTTAAGCTTCTTATGTATGATTTTTACATAATATCATTTGTGACTACTGTAATTTATAATCAGAAGAATGCCATTATTATTCTCTCTTATAACAGAATGTTTATTAACAAACTACAGAGGCTTATGGTCAGTCAGAAGTGTTACTACTTACTGATTGAAAGCAGGAATGTATGTGTATACAGCACTGCTGCTTAAGTTATAGAGGAAAGGTAAGTGTTTGCCAATATCTGCTGTTGCCCAGTTGCTGAAGAAGCTATTCAACAAGCCTTGATCACCTCCTAAAGAATATAAAAACCAGTATTACCATAATTATGCATACAGTCAAATTTACATCAAAATTTCACGGCCAAGGATGGGACTGAGAATGGTGTGTTCATGGGACTGCAACTTGGACTTGACAATATGACCATGTGAGCAGGTGCAAGTGAATAATACCTGATCCACACCGATGCAAGTTCATTGGAAATGGAGTCCTACTGTAATATATGAAGAAAGGAGTAGGAAAGGGTTTTGGTCTCCCTCAGAGCAGAAGACTGAAGATCAGCTGAATTTCTGTCTCCTAAACCAGACAGCAAAATTAAAACTTACTGAATAAGACTGAGACACAATGTCCCTTCATTGACCTTTTCTGGGAAGTGTAGTGTAAGAGGCAAAGGTCTGCACCTTAACCTTTTGTGGGGGCACAGTTACGTGAAGCCCAGACAACTCCTGTCTTCCTCTGTTCTGCCCAATAGCATGGAAGCTTTGGAAAACAGCTCAGTGAAAAGGAATCTAATGTCTTGCACTTCATTCCTTATGCCTTGCCCCTTACCATCAAAGCTGCCATGTTCTGCAGCAAAGCGGAGCAGTAAATTGTAAGTTTTCAAAGAAGGTCGGAACACAAATACACCACTGTTAAAGCAGTCAGGCCAGCCAGAATCAGGAGCTGCTGAAAACTCTTCTCGGTCAAACAATTCATCAACATTGCAAAGCACCTTAGAGACAGTAGAAAAAGAGAAAAATTGTTAGGGCAAATGCTTTTCTAGAACATGAGCAGCTAAATCAGTACCAGTGGAGTAAATTGCTAGTTTGGCCAAGTACATTGCCTGCAGAGTATAAAAGCAGTGCCAATGAAAAAATATGCTAGGGGTCAGAATCTCTATTTTTAATATGATAAGGCAACATTAATTGTGGTTCTCCATGATTTCTCTAATAAAAGTGCAAACCCTGTGAAATTATTTCATGAAACTTGGAGACTCTGCAAAAGGTCCTTTTAAATATTATAACATACCATGAAACCATACAATTTCCTTCTTTCTTAGCTTACCTTTCCAGAGTCCAGTATTTTCAGTAACAGCAGAGATGAATGAGAGATGGGAATCCAAATTTGAGTTAGCAACAGCCTGACTAAAGGGGTAACAGTAAAACTGTCTCTTATTACCATTTTTCTAATGTAAATTAAGAACAGAGGTTTGCTTTGCTTTGGTTTTTAAGCTTCACAAGAAAGTGGGAAAAATTAATCAGGTTAAGGCCAAGATCACTTTTAAAGTTGGTGGAAAGACAGCTGTGCAGTCACTGAAAGTCTGGACCCCACCCACAATTGAGCCACTGTGAAAAGCAGGAGAAATTTTTTTTGTTTTGTTTTGTTTTGTTTTAGGAGAAAGATTACTTCATTGAATTTAAAAAAAAACAAAAAACAAAAAAACAAATATCTGTCTTCCTCCTTTAATTGTAATGTAAAGCAGGAAATCATAAGCCTTCCCACCTGAGAAGAATCATTTAGTTTGTTTTCTAATTCAAATACAGTCCTATTAAATGAAAATGCATCCCAGTCTTCCAAAGTGAGCCTTGTGGGGGAAAACTGACATGATTTTCCTTGCCAAAATATGGCTGGTTTTATCTCTATACCTCTAAAATATATATATATATTTAAATATTAATGTTTCTGGGCTTTGCGGGTTTTTTTCCCTTTCATTTTAAATCTCACCTGCCTTCATGACCGGAACAAGTCCAAATGAAAGTGTATGAGAGAGATTTCTTTTATACATCTATCAGAAGCCTGTTTGCATAGACCATTTGTGATATCTTTTGAGGACAGTCCTGAAGCTACTCTCAAAACAGAGTTTATTTCTGTGCAGCTGGCAAAACTGCGAACATTGCCAAAACATGTCAGCTGAAGCTCCTGCAACCTTGTGGCTACCAGAAAATCTGGCCACTTCATAGGCTGGTAGGCTGTCTGACAAGGAAGCATCACACACTCAGAGTAGCTCTTTAAGACAGACACCAACATTTCCGCAGCTCCCCCTCTACTCACCAAAGTGTCCGCATCCATGAAGACACATTTGCTATAATGAGTAAGAGTCCAACAGTGAAGCTTAGTGAAGGTTACACCCAGTTCTGGCCTCTGCATCAGAGCCAAACGGACTGAGTCAGCACTGTCAAGTGCATCTACCTCTACGACTTCATCAAATACGCTGTGGAGGATGGACCTACCAGGGCAAGCAGTGGAGATAAAGAAGGGAATTTAGAGAGGTTCATCAGAGGTCACTTCTGGAATGAAAACAGTGACACTGACACACAGTACCACATTTATTATGACAATAACAAAGGTTAGATCAATTGGTTAGAATAAGAAGTCACAAGTCAAAAGTCCTTGTAAGCAGTCTACTGAAGTGACGGCTATCAATCAGGTCATCACCTCTTCCGCTGTGGGGCCAGCACGTCAAAAGAGACAGGTGCTGTATGGAGAGGAAACTAATCCTTATTTTAGTTACTTAATTTCCTATAGAAAGACCAACAGAAACTGAAACAGCTTTCATCCTTCACGGTTGTCTCTGAAGAACAGCACCATACTGTGCTCCCCATGCACTGCACAGGATGTGGCACGCACTGCCAGCACAGTTATTTGCACCTATTATGCCCAAGTAAATGGAGCTTCAAAACTGCACCTTTTAAAACAGGCAATATATACTTCCTCACTCCTACAAATTGTCTCAAATGAGACTTTTAGGAAGACATCTTTTTTTCTATGTGTAACTTCCATGAGAATTTGGGAGGTGATACCAAAAGAGGTAATTTTCCTTCAAGACACAAGAAAAAAGCCTTTTAAACACAGCTTATTTATTTACATTACACTACTAACTACAAAGTCCTGGATGTCACACAAACACAGAAAAAGAAACGCCTGTGCTGATTATCTAGATTTCAGTCATTAGCATTTGGTTGACTTATCTTCAAGGGTCAGGAGTTAACTGGGAAAAAATTAAGAGTACATACAGGTTTTTAGAAGCATAGTTTAATTATGTACTTTTTTTTAAAATTATATCCTTGATTTAAAAATAAATTATAAAGGGTTTTTTCCTTCCACTGAATGAGGATGGAAAAACTGATAGACTTAGTATCCACCCAGGTGTTAAATGTATACGCTATTCCCTCAGGAAGGTTACAGTGTTCCGACAGAATCCATACTTTAAAAAAACCCTGTAAAAACAGATTTCTGTACAGCAAAAATCACAGCAAAAATGTCTCTTGAGCCAGATGCACTGCAAATACTTTCATATGGCATACAGAAATCAGGAGCTTAATCACTTCCTAAGCCATGGCAGAACTAAGAGTTTAAGTAGATATGGCATGTCATGTTCCTTTTAGCAAGCAACACAGTCCTCCAAATAACAGGGCTTGAGTTCAGCAGATCTAATGACATTTCTGTAATTCTGTAGTGTCTGTAAAATCACAACCCAAATTGGAAAGTGATTTTTAAAAAAAAAAAAAAAAGAGAGAATAAATTAATTTCTCATCATGATAGCCATGCACCAATATTTTAAGAAGATTAGTCATCTGAAACCGAGCCCCTAAGGTTTTGGGAGAGTTCTGATGTCACATGTGGTCACATGTTAGCTCCTTCTAAAAGATAAACACTTGAGGGAAAAAAACAACAACAAAAAAAAACCAAACGAACAAAAACCACAAACAAAATAAAACAAACAAACAAAAACACACAAAAACCCCACAAAAAAACCAAAACCAAACAAACAAAAAACCCAAGCAAAACCAGTAGTGCCTTTATTTCAGCTCAAAAGCAACACACTAAAATCTTAGTTCCTGAACTTTCATCTTATGTGCCCAGTTATGGGCTTAAGACAACTTCCAGCCACAAGCTCTACTTCTGCAAGTGAATTCCTATTAGATTTACAATCTTATCATGGATGTCATGTGGGACTCCTCTCAGAAATCGCTAGTCAAGGGGAAACTTCTAAACATAATGCTGTGAAAGACAGGAAGCCTATCTTTCATGCTGTTGTTTATTCTTCTGTATCATCAACCTCTAAAAATACATGAATCCTTACCTCATCCCACTGGAAACCTCTGGTGTAGTTAGAACTGCCAGTTTTCTAGATGTCATATGGTTCCTCAATGACTGTCCAAGAACCAGAGCGCCTTGACAATACACATCATTGGTAGCAAGGGTCACAAAGGCTTGATCTGTTACTGTGAGCAAATATTCAGAATAGTTACTTTACAGCTTTAACTTAAGCTCTTCTGGCAGGTTCCTACAATCTCCCTCCTCCAGCTAACCAACAGGCTGAAGCTAATAACAACCTGCAGTTCCTGTGATAAGCTCTTTTCTTTCCCAAACTCCCTCAGAAGACACAACTGAATAGAAAATGCATTGAATGTGATTGCAGAATGTATGTTTCTGAATGTTATTTTTTGTTTGCCTGATTTACATAATAACAGATATGAAGTTTTTGGATTAGCCTTAAACAAATAATTCCCCAAGTCTTATTGCCTAAATAGGATGTTAATCAAAAAACCCAATCTGTAAATATTTAGATTTTACATTTAACTAGCGCAGTATAATACAACCGATAAGGAAAATGTTCCTGTTTATACAGAGTTAAAAGCTAAGGAAAAAACCCAGGATACTAAGTACTAGCCAGAAATGTCCTTTACATAACCTCACTGAATCAACCCAAGAGGCATTGTCCTTTGCTCTGTCCTGTTTGTACTGGAGTAACTTGTGTTGGCTGAACAAATGCAGAGAAATTGCTACTGACATTGGTACATCTCCCAGAAACTAAGGATCCCTACCTCAAGTAACTCCAAGAAAATCAGGAGTGTTCCTCATTGTCAAGAAACACACAGGAAAAAAATTACAATAAAAAAGCAAGCAAGCTAAACTCCTGTACAACAGCAGACATAATGTATTTCGCAGAGATACCAGGCCTGTGGCAGTATCACCAGGGTCTGCTTCAGCTCTGCCCTCTGACAGAACCACCGTTACTGGGGTTCTCCTGAGGAGAGACAGAACCTATGATTCAGCAAGGTGAACAGCATCCTCAGAGCAGAAGGAAGACCACAGCTTTCTAGGCTGCAAAATTAACCAGAACAAGATGAGCGAGTCACACAGATGAGGGAAATTCCACTGAGCTCTAGAGCTTCAATAAATACTTGTGTTGAACTACTTGTTTAAAACCACCATCATGTTAAGGGACAAGCAATTATGTTAATTAAATTTAAAGGATCAAACAATAACAACAAAAACCCCCACCCTTTTATGCAGTTTCCAGGCTCTGTGAGAGACACTAGGAAAGAATCTCATGGAACTTGTTGCGGAGAACCCAACAAATGACTTCATGGCTGCCTCAGCCAAAGGCTGCCGAAACGAGTGAGTTCAAATCTCTAACCTAACATCAAGGTATGCAATGAAGTATGGTTGATGCTGGTGACAAACTCTCAGGTACTAAGTATTTTCATGTCTTCTGAATGCAGAGCAAAGCACAGACCCACTGATCTGCTGTCTCCTTCCCCCCTTTTTTCCCTACCTCCCACTCATCTCCAGCCAGACCTGAATTTGAATCAGGCACATACACCTTATGTTTACTGACATTACAAGATCCCTACACCTCAGGAGAACTCTAGTAGTGTTAAACTTGACAAAAAAAAAATAAAAAATCCTCCATCTAAACTTTAAATAGTTCACAGATCCCTCAGCTAAGCAAACTCCAGCAACACTTTTAATCACAATTTCCAGAAGCAGCAAATGAAAACAAGAGCTTTCAGATGTCTTGTTATCATAACACCTTGAGCAAGTGTGTACCAGAAAACAATTAAGATTTGCTTACATGAAGTGGTTTAAAAGAACAGTTGTGCAAGTAAACTGCTCCTACTGCAATTTTCCAAAAGGTTAAGTGAATAAATATAAACATACATAAAAATCAATACAAAACAATAAAACACTGAAAGCTACTTTAGCAATAAAATTGTTCTTAAAAGACACAAAGAGTCAGCAAAGAAAAGCACTTTTGTGTTAGGCAACAAGCATCTTCAGCCAAATAAAGGTAATAAAACAACTACTGAGAGGAAAGTGGGAGGTAGTTTAATACAAAAAGCAAACTGAAATGAATGGGAGCTTAAATCTTAAAATACTGTTTCAAAAAAACAACCACAAAACTGAACACATAATCTTATTGCTTCTGCAAATTCTTTTAGTTACAGAAGCTGAATCTTCGCTTAAGTAACATTTAAAAATACACAAGCTACTCATCAAATAGTTCAGCAAGTTTGTATGGCAAATTACCACATCCTACATATGCTTTCATTCCCTGCAACTCTGGAGCAAAAGCTGTGGTCAAAACTACAAGGAAGAAAACTGCTGAATAAATACAGCTTCTAAGAAACTCTTGATAATACCTCCCACAGAAAAGAAACCAATTGTCTGATCTGAGAAGTGGGATACATATTATAGCTTTCTTGATAAAGTGAATCATTACAGAAATAATTAAATAGATAATCAAATAACTGACTGAAACCATACAACATTAAAATATTTCTCATACAGAGAAGTGTATCCTAGCTATTTTAAATCATACAGGGGCATCACTGATTCATTAAGGATCCATAGGGGATTTAAAATCAAAAGATTTTATCATTACTTGTTCTTTCATCTAATCCCTGTTGTCAAGGAAGAAGTGTTACTTGACTTGCCTCATTTATACTGTACTTTGGAACACTGTTCCTGTAAGTAAATGTTTTATTTTTATAACTGAAAACTAAGGATCAAATTTTCATATACACTTTTGAAAGTAAACCATTTAGCAGAAAACACCAAAATTCCCATTTAACAGAAATCTAGAACAATGCTGCATTAAATCTAATGCAGGGTTTACATTAAATCTAAGTACATAGGGTGTCACTCACTGACTTTAAGCTGAAAAATATTTTATTATTTTAAGTTTGAAAGCCAAAGGCATTGGCATTTAAAATTTATTTCAACTGGATTTTTTTTTTTTTTAAGCATCAAGTGTATAACTTTTAAGTTTTTGTGCTGAACAACAGGATTTTTCATGGAAAACACCTAGTGTGAACAGTATTGAGTTTTCAAGCAAATTGTTTTCAAGCTGTGGAACCCTATGGCTAATACCATTGATTCTCAGTGAATTATGAGAAAAGTAAGTGTATGATTAGGATCACATTAAAACCATGCCATATGAATTGATAAATCTGCACATTTATCGTCTCTGGATTACCACACAGTACATGAAGATGCAAATTTAGAAATCGTTATCGTCAGCAGTGGCTCCTCAGTTTTAATACCTAACAACAGTTTCTTAGAACTAACCAAGGCTTTTCAAGCAAATAACTCTGGTGAGTTATTTTGGAGCCCACTATGAAGTTACAGATAGCAACACAGAAAAGACAGCAAAGTTAATGTGAATCACTACAGTCAGGATGATTTTATGGAAAACTTAAAGTTTTTTAGCCAAGATCACCAACTTCTGTTGCTACTTACAGCAGTAGTACCTCTGACACTGCCAGAGGGAAAATTCTTCAACAGGCCTGAAAACCAATTCCAGGGCAGCTAAAAGCTTTACTTAGAATCCACACCAGCAAGCAGACAGGGTGGTGCTCACTTTGATGTTCAAAGAAGAGAGGGAATGAACAAACACCAGCTACCCACTGAGAATCAGGAGTGACTCGTAATAACGCATACTGAATGAACTATGTGCACCTGCCAGCTTCAAGACAAGTAGGGTAAGGTTTTTTCCATAATCCACCAGACATAGCTTTAAACATATTGTAGTCTTTCTTTTGATAGGCAGAGAAAGGATAAATGTGCTTTAGGTGTGGTTCCTAGAGTAACAACTCAAATTTGCCAAGTTGCCCCTCCAAAATTTCAGTAGGAGACCAGACACTCATATGCTACAACTCTCCTACAAGCCTGTTCTAAATAACACATTGCCATCTTATGCATAGAAATAAGAGTAAATAAATCAGTAGCTTAAAGCCTCCAACAGGCTGGTTAAGTTCCCAGTATGTACTGCCATTCATAACAACCAACGTTGTACAGTTGCTTTAAATTCCTCCCTGGTGCCACCTGTTGCTCTTCTGTCACCTCCTCTGCTTCTGCCTCAGACACAATCTGCAGGACAGGCAGGCTGCAGTCTGCACCTGTGTCCACTGAGCCCAAAGCACCTTTCTGAAATCCTGAGTGGCAATGACAACACAGCCCCAACTCACATCATGTTTTCTGACACTTTTGCTGCTTCCTCTCCCACACAGAGGTCCCTATGCATCTTCCCCCAGAAGCTGTCTCAGTGAAGATGTGTTAAACTACTGCAAAGATAAAAAGAAAGCTACAGGCCTTCTCACTTCTCTGACCTAGCACAACTGTATCAGAAGTACTTGGAACAGAAAGCTCTGCTCCAGCTGACACCCACAACCTTGAAAGCAGTTAAGAAGTATTTTGTTTTAAGTCGGTAAAATGAATAATGATGTCAGACAATAGCCTATAACAGACCACCATCAGAAATTACGAGACAAGTTTTCAGCAAAGAATCAGTTCTTGCCCTGGTAAACAAATGACAGCTGGCAATTTTAATTCCCATGCTTCCTCAGTCTGGGTACAATAGTAGAAACATTTACATTACTGATGAAGGTGGCACAACTCACACTTTACACAGACCTTTTTATAACAGAATATAAATTGATGTTTGGTGGCATGAAATATTTCTCTTGCTTATAACAAAGATCTGCCTGATCCAAAACCAGACTCTCTCTTATCTCTTATTAAAACAATACCAAATTTTAATAGACAGGATTAACAACCATTTTCTTGGGACATTACAGAAAGAGGACTTGTTTCTCATATTGTGCAGCTTTTACTCTGTATCTTTCAGTTAGGAACAATTACATTCTGCTTCAAGATCCTGCAATTTTATATTCAACAGAAAGTAAATAATCCTTATGAAAAATCAAATGCCACAATATTATAATATACAAAGAAGCCTAACACATAGCACCCAAAACTAGTCCCAAAATAGTAACATACCAGTTGGAAAAAAAAATAAAAGAAAACAAAGAAAAAAAAAAAGAAATAGTAATTGCTTAAGTAGTCCAAAGAGAGCACTGAGGACTGGATACATTAAGTTAGATGTTTCCAGTCTTCCCACCTTCCTTTCAAAAAAACCCACAAACCAAACAAACCCACAATCGTCTAACCCTTTAATCTGCAGACCTCCTTCCTGCATCTTCCCCCAACACTGAGGTGCCACATACATGAATTCAAACTTGGGATCCACCAGGCCAAATGTCTGAGGAAGGTATGTTTGTGACACCCTTCAAATGGTTCAACAAACCCAACTTTGGAGGGCTGCCCCTCAAACTCATTTTCAGTTTTTCGAGCACGTTCAGGAACCAGAAGAGCACCTGCACCCACCCGGTGCAGTCAGCCCTAAACCGGTCGGTCCCTCGTAGCCTTTAGGATGACTGAATGAAGCCAATACCGGTGCTATACAGGAGAGGAAGTGAGACAGGTTTCTCTGAATCTGCCTCAGCCTGGGGGTGCCCATCCGGGTCTGTCACCCTGCAGATCCACCAGGAAAGCACCCAGAGGCCTGGGTAGGCCAATCTCTACGTACAAGCAGAAGACACCCATGAATTGATCTCTCTTCATCCCACCAGCCGAACAGTTCAAATCTTAACCTGAGACCGCTCATTACAGCACAGTTCCCTGCTGATAAGGAGACAGTAGAGACCCTGTGCTGTAATGAGCGGTCTCAGGTTAAGATTTGAACTGTTCGGCTGGTGGGATGAAGAGAGATCAATTCATGGGTGTCTTCTGCTTGTACGTAGAGATTGGCCTACCCAGGCCTCTGGGTGCTTTCCTGGTGGATCTGCAGGGTGACAGACCCGGATGGGCACCCCCAGGCTGAGGCAGATTCAGAGAAACCTGTCTCACTTCCTCTCCTGTATAGCACCGGTATTGGCTTCATTCAGTCATCCTAAAGGCTACGAGGGACCGACCGGTTTAGGGCTGACTGCACCGGGTGGGTGCAGGTGCTCTTCCGGTTCCTGAACGTGCTCGAAAAACTGAAAATGAGTTTGAGGGGCAGCCCTCCAAAGTTGGGTTTGTTGAACCATTTGAAGGGTGTCACAAACATACCTTCCTCAGACATTTGGCCTGGTGGATCCCAAGTTTGAATTCATGTATGTGGCACCTCAGTGTTGGGGGAAGATGCAGGAAGGAGGTCTGCAGATTAAAGGGTTAGACGATTGTGGGTTTGTTTGGTTTGTGGGTTTTTTTGAAAGGAAGGTGGGAAGACTGGAAACATCTAAC